GAGAGAGATCACTTAAGTATTCTGAAACTGCTACTTATGTACTAAAAAATTAAATTGCTCAAAAAATCCACATGAAGGTTACCATTGACATTATCTTGCACCACATATAGAATCCTGCAGTACAATAATTAACTGCGCACATATCTTCACATATATGTTCATGAAGTCAAATGCTAATTAATTTAGGTTATCGTGTACAGATATGAGAATGCAATGTAATGAAGCTAAACCTCTTGAGCCTTTGGCTTTTTAGGACACTGGAGAAGATTTTTCAAAGATCTATAAGTTGGTCTATAAGTTAATTAAATAGCTTCACAGCTATTGATTTAAAAGTATGAATAACATTATTTCATGAAAAATGTAGTCAAGCATTAGAAAAAGCTGTCCAGGGAAGTGGTGGATACCTTTCCTATCCCTGGAGGTATTTGAGACATGGATGTGGCACTAAGGGACATGTTCTAGTGATGAGGCTCAGTAGGTCAGGCTGATGGTTGGAAGTGATGATCTCAGAGGTCTTTTCCAACCTAGATGATTCTATGATTCCAGAACTTTAGAAATCTAAAGTCCTTCCAGTAAAGTGCTATTTTCAATATGGGTTCCAGATTTCCTAACAAGAGATGTTAGAAGTGCTCTAGTGCAGCAAAATTTAAAAAATAAATAATTAATAAAAAAATTTAACTTCAAAGCTCTATGGTAACAATAATATTAATGATCCTGGAAGGAAAACCTAAAAGCCTACAGCTGTGATTTCTCAGGCATTTAGGATATTAACAGTTTAACAGTTTCAAATGTGTTTGAAACTGAAGAAACAGCTGTCCTTGCTCTATTTGTTTGTCATTGAAATCCTGTCCCTTTTCCGAAAACACAGCCCTGAGATGCAAGCCCTTGCTTATTTGTCCCACAGCTTCTGAAAGCTCATCTGTTGTTTCATGGCAGTTTACTCTAGAAAGTAGTATTTAATCTAGAATTTAGTATCATCTGACCAATATATTGTATTCTTGTGTTCAGACAGTGTTTGCCACTCCTGACACAAAGGTATTCTAATGCCTGTCTGTTAAAAAAGTATCAGTAAAAGAAAGCAAATAAAGAATTATAAGTATTTTCCTTTATGAAATTATATACTTAATTTTAAAAGTTTAAAATAAACTGTTCTATACCTATTTTATAGTAGAGGGCTTGAAAGTCACAAAAAGCCAGTAACTTTAACAGGGAATTATGTTTCTGTTCCTTGCTATGTTACTTGGACTGTCCTTGTTTTGTTTATTATTTGTTTCATTTTTTCATTTTTCTAAGTACTTTTCGTTTGTATATTCAGTCCATCACTTCATAAGGATAAATTATCACCCATTTAACTTATATCTTTCTATCTGAATCAAGAGCAAGATTTTTTTTTTTTTATCTTCAATAAGTTGTATTATTTAGATGATTTTATATTAATTCCCATTTCTCTTTCATGACAAAATCCAGGTGAATGGATTTTAGTCCTACTCATTTTGCTACCACCAATATAGATTGCATTTTTCATGTTTATTTTCCAGTAGCTTTGATTCTTACACCATTTTCCAGAACCCAAAAACCTTAAAAAACTGTTTCAGGGAAATAACAAAAATCAGGTATCTTTAGGTAATACTCTCTGTCTTTCTGTGGAAGATCTGTTCACACTGCTATCAAAAACAATCAAACAAACAAAACCACACTTCTGTGAAAGAATCAAGAATCAAGAAAGAATCCAAAAATCATAGTAAATGTGTTTTTGCAGGTAACATTTATGACCTTTTGTAGGTCATAAAAATGGATATATGTTCTCTGTTTTACTTGTCATTATTACATTAAGCCCTAGAATAAGTAGATTTGAATTTCCATGGTTTTTTAGACTTCTCAGCTATGCTTCAATACTCTTATTCTGAGCATGTCCCTTACAAGAATGGAAGAAGGAAATAATTTGAAACCTGACATGAGTTCTTGCTTTTAATAGCACACTGTTTATGAAGAAGGGATGACTTGTCTTACTTAGATATTCAAGCTAGCTAAACACTAGAGGCTCAAGTAAAGCTCCTGAAATTGTGCTTTCTGAGGACAGAAAAGCTCCCTTCTCCACTTGTAATTAGAACTAAATTTGGGGACCTGGGAGATGGGAACAGCAGCTATGGAAAGAAGAGGAGGTCAATATAACAGAGCTGACTTAATTTCAGAAGCCTGAAGTAAGAGTGAATAAATTAGGCTGTTAAAATTCATTTTGTTGCAAATTGACAGGTGCTCAGCACAGGTAATTAATTCAGTGAGTTTTAATAAACTAGAATTAGAAACAAATAAGAACCATCTCCTCCTAAGGAGGTGGGGAGGATGCATATCACTATCTCTTAATGCAGACAACTTGACACACTACAGCTTTGTGAGTGATGGGCTGCAGGTTGTAGTGATGCTCTTGTGGGTACAGTAAGGTGTGGGGCAGGCAATGGTTTCTTGCCAAGGCAGAAGAAGAGAGGAAGAAGGAGAGACTCAGCAGTCCAGGATTTGCTTAGAAAGAGAAAAAATATTAACATGTTACTTGTAAAGTTATGGCTCCTTCGCTAGAGATATTTAATGAAATTAATTTCATTAATTTCATGACATTTAATGACAGCCTTTGGTGAAAATGAATTATTTTTTCCTATTTTGAAATAGGCATCCCAGACATAACATTTTTCCAGACTTAGCACAGTGTAGTTTGTTTATTTATCAAATTGGAAGAATATAGAATTACTTAAAAGCCAGATTTCCAGGGGTGATTGTCCAGCCATGGAGTGCATGGCTTTGCCTGGGAGTAGACCAGTTACCAGGATTTGTTGCCTTGCTGGGGACAAAGGGAGGCTGAATTCACTTTGAGAACTCCCTGCACATAATTCTGCCAGCATGATCCAACAGCAGTTGTTAGGTGATGTTTTGAGGCTGTTTTGCATCTTTCTAATGGTATGTGATGCAAATATGCTGTTACCCCCATCTGCCATTCAGAAGAGTTAGCTTTAATCAGCAGTCATATATTCCAGCTAGAGCACAGATCGCTCCTAATAAAACTTGCTTCTGCCTTCTCATTTTGTGATCAACATGATCATTAACATTTTCATCACGCTTCTTTCTTCAACAACAGCCTTGTCCATATTTGTATCAGATTATCATCATCTGTCTTCCTTTCAATACACGGAATATAACATGAGCTAAATCCTACAGTCCATATTCAGTCAGCCATAAGTTAGCAGTGATTTCACCCAAAAGATTAGGATTTGTTCATATTTTCATATTTATAAGACAAATAGTGTGTTCATATTTTTCCAGTGTTTTACCTGTGCAGATTCTCCCTGAAAGATTTTGTACTGTTCCTCAAGTGTGTTTTTTTGTCAAATTCTAGTTCCAACAAAACACTGATAGAAAGGCAAATTAAGTTTGCATAGTGGGAAGTCATAACATATGAGCCATCTAGTAAAATAAAGGACATTTCTGTATTTTCTATTATGGTTGTTGTGCATTTCACTGCAGAACTTTCATCTGAAATAAGCATTTATATTTCATACATAGGAAACACTGTTATCAGTCAGGCTTTAACAGGATAGATTTTATGAACCCACATACATTAGAGACATCTAAGCATATGAAAAAAAGGCAAAATCTAAGATTGAATGTCTAGTGCATTTTCAGGATCTGTTGGTTTTGTGTTTTGTTTTTTATTTACTTTTCATTCTTCACTTTTTAAAAATATATAATAATTATCTTGCATATACTTATATAGAACCCACTGCCCCCAGACTTATTATTTGACCTTAGTATTTAAGGAAATAAAATTCTGAGAAAATTAACACAATTGAATATTCAAAACAACATTATCTGAAGCTAATTAAGAATATAAAATGAACTAAAAACAAGTAAAGTATTATATTTATTTAATCTTTTCCAACCTTTCATAGCTTGATTCAAGACTGATTGAACAATTTTGCTGAACTGGGATTTTAGTAAAAAAAAAAAATGCCTAGTCTAGTTAAATGCCTAGTTACATGCATTTAAGATAACTATCAAATATGTATGCTGCATAAAGAAATAATCATAGTATCCATGGTTCTGAACAGGGTTCTTGCTTTGTTAATATTGGGTACACGTAAATTTTATTTCCTTTTTAACCTTGATGTGATTTTGATGCTTAAAATTTTGATGGGGATAGATGTAGTTTATTCTCAACATTACTGGTGTGGTTTTGGTGCAGGGGTACAATGTATACTGCATTTTACAGCCTGCAACTAGCATTTCAAGCAACACAATGAAGGGTGGATCATAATTTATTTCAAGAAAGAGGCAAGCTCATTTATATAAGTGACAATGTCAAGTTTAATTAAGGGCTATAGTGACAAAAGAGAGCTGACTGCATGCACTCAAAATACTTTTCAGATGACAAATGACTGACACCCATAAAAACAATATCCAGAGTAATTGGTAAGGTTATGATACTTATGACTAAAAAGATTTCAGACAGTATATTCCAGTAGGTTAACATTCTATCAAATTTAAATTCAAAACAGATAAATCAAACTTGCCATATTTCCTAAAATTCAGATTTACAATCACAAACTTTCTTTATGGAAGGAAAGAAAATATAACTGGCAATTAGGGGCATTTGGATCCCCCCCTTTATTCAGCTCTATGAAGTTTTATAGTCAGTAACACTATGGCTTGATCTCCGAAGTGGCATTATGGCACTCCCTGGTCAAAATAAGGATGTAGAGAAAAATCTGTTTGCATGAGTTATTTTGTGTTCTTCACCCTGCTCTGCACACTCAGTGTTTTTGAAAACAGTCCAGAATGCCTAATCCATATCAACATCTCTCTTTCTTCTCTCTTTGTGGCAACTACACCATAAAGGGGGAGCTGATGTTAAGGATAAAGGTCAGGATGATAGAATATGACAACTCTTTGAAATGAAAAGAGAAATGAGTGTCCCTAAGTATTCAGCACAAGCTTTTCTTTGCTCCCTGCAGGGCATCTGCACCACAACCACCGCATTTTTACACTTCTTCTTCTTAGCTTCATTCTGTTGGGTATTGACAGAAGCGTGGCAGTCATACATGGCTGTTACTGGAAAAATTAGGACACGGCTCATAAGGAAACGTTTCCTGTGCCTTGGATGGGGTAAGTCTGTAAAATTCATTTATTCAGACTCGTTGGAATGAAACGTTTAATGCAGTGGCAATGTCAAGAGTATTATAATTTTCCTCAGTGAACCTGAAAAAGTAGACAGCATGTAACTAAACAAAAAACTGGGTTAGGAGTCTTTCCAATTTAACTCTAGCTTCAATATAATCTCTTAGCTCAAGACATGCTAGTGCATATTCTCTAATAAATATATTTTAACATCATTTTAGTGTACAAAATAGTGTAATATCAAGAAATAAAAATAAAATAACAAAAACACTTGCTGAATATTCATGAAGTCTCTTACTATTTCACTTAAAGACATGTCAAAGGTACCAGTAATTTAGCTACAATAAGGAGATACACCATGGGCAGAAAAAACTGTCCTCTCTACAATTGCTTGAGAAAAACAAATCTTGTGATAACACTGTGCTTTTTCAAATGAATCATTCCATGTAAAAATGATCATTTTGCATTAGCTTGCACCGACATTTCTTTTCCAGGCAGAACAGCAATGTATTCTCACCCTCTAATGGTTTTTACTGTTTCATGGGTTTTCTTTCTTTTCAGGTTTACCAGCCTTAGTGGTTGCAATATCAATAGGCTTTACCAAGACAAAGGGATATGGAACAGCTCACTAGTAAGTCAATCTGAAATGGTAAATTAAATTTTTAATTAAAAAAGCTAACATCCCCATCAGGAATTATATAGCATGGTCTGAAGACCCTACAGGTGTCCATTCACACTTGGAATTGCCCTAAGAGTCACTGAGTGATCTACAGAAGAACAAAAAGGAAACCATATGTTAGTCTTGGACTAAGCTCAGCAAAGCACCAGGGATGCTGGATTTCCTGTGATCATTTGAAGCAGCAAGCCATCAAGAAACACTAAGGATTAGGTCCATTTAAATGCCCAACATTTATATAAATTCACCAAAGAGAACCTTAAATGTTAAGGTTAGCCTTTGCCAACCTCTAAACATGTCTATAACTGTACTGGCAAGAGTCTCTTTGGCACCCAGCTTTCTGTTCACCAGGTATGTTAACCACTACATAGGCTTTCATGCCCCTGAGCTGCTTAGAGCCAAAGCCCCACAGAAGTCTCAAAATAGATCTCCCTTTCAACCCCTCTCTCCTGGAGTGTCTGATCCAGCCCATTTCCTGGACTGGGCTGTATATGAGAGATGGCAAGGACATCTCTGTACTTCATTTACATTTTATTCATACGAGTTCTATTTAACCACCTGACTGCTTACAGTGTATATTTAGCACCCTGGAAAATTCACTCCTTAGTTAACCTGCCCTTCCCTTGCCTCCTGCTGAAGGAGTTTGGCCTGAGTCTCCTTCCTGCCTGCAGAAGGCTCTAAGAACCAAGACATAATGTGTGTGAGGGTACATTCCCTTCAGTCTCTGTTTGCAGCTCTCCTCATGTAGCCTAGGAAATTAAGCATGCATCTGGACAGCAGGAGAGGAAATAAGACTCTGTAAGCTGCTAATGAGGGCATTCATCAGAGATGTGAATGAGCTAGGTCAAGTCCTTACTTCAATGAATACTAAATTATTCTCCTTTGCATCGTCACTGAGTGATCAGGATTCTCCCTCTCTGCCCTGTGTATCCCACCTTCATGGCACATGGCAGATGAGGCTTCAAGCCCTTGCTCCATCTCCAGGTGGGTAAGGCTCCAAAAACAAATCTCTTCCTGAGTACTTGTTCTAACCACTGAGCTCTCTAGTTCTGAATTGTGACGTGTCTTCCATTTATTTCATGGGGAATAGCTTACCTAACTGTGGGACAACACTTATAGCTGGGAATCCTTAGTGATAAAAACATCTTAGACATCTTTGGGAATTATATTGAGAACATGCTACTCTGGATTTTTTTTCTAGCCAATATGTGCTCATCTTGCTGTTTGTTTTGTTTTTGTTTTGTTGTTGCTGTTGTTGATTTTATTATTATTATTATTATTCATGTGTGACAACTTGCTTCAGTTAGTGTTGCTTCTTATTTCCTTCTTGGGATGATTGAATTTTTAAAAGAAGATAGACTAAAATATTCAGACAAAGCAACAAATCATTCATTAAGGGTAACCTGGAAAGAGAAACAGAGCAGATCTGTACATAAAGCAGCCCGTTTCCTCCTATCCAAAATCAGCTGACACAGTACTGTGGAACAAAAGCACAAGAGGAGGTGCACAAGGGAAAAAAATGAACCATAATGCAGCTCTTGTCTTATTTGCAACTACATTTTCTTGGCATTCAACATCACAATAATATAAAGAAAACTGGAAATGCAGAAAATGGAGTTTGCTCCTCCATCACCAGCTGACATGCTGTTGCACTCAAGAATTATGGCCTGTAACTGCTAAGCCATGTGAAAGCGGAGCCCCTGTGCTGTTTACCATAACTAAAGTACTTTTGTAAGTTTTTGAACTGCTTATGCTAATGTATATTTGGCCCATTTGACTGCATTCAGAAGCCAAACAAACCTACTGCCATCAGAAATGCATTCAATTATACACATTCTGCACCGTTCTGCCATCAGAAAGCATTCTGCTATTAAAAAAAAAAAAAAAAAAAAAAAAAAAAAAAAAAAAAAGGCTTTTCCAAAGGGAGAAAATTAAGAGTGAAAAGGGATTGATTCTAGTCCCATACATGGAGAGTTTGACTAGAAGGGAGGCCCAAGGGTCTTCAAAGCAGGTTTATAGGGTGGTACAGCTGATGAGCTTGGCCTGAATTATTCACACTTGATCCAGCTCTGTCATAACACTGTGTAATTTCTCTCTTTTTCTTTCAATCCTAATTATTAGACAGTTATATTACTGTACATTCAAAATCACTTATGAGAACACATTTGTACTGAAACAGGTATAGAAACTGAATAGATTCCCTAAAACTAATTTGGAAAAAAATAAAATAAAAGCACGTAGTAACAAACTTTCAGATATTTGAAAAAGGGTTGTGTAAAAGCTTAATTATTTTTTCCAAATATTTCTGTGGGGTTTATAAATATTGTTGCTTTTTTAATTTATAAATATTCTTGCCACCTCTCCTCAGATCTATGAAAGCACCATTACTGCAAGTTACAGTTACTAAATCTGTGAGACCTACTACATGCAGTTCTGTATACTAATAAGCAGTGTAGATAACTTTCAGGAAATTGTTATAACAGCAAAATTTAATATTCTGCTATAGTCATGTTCTAAGAGAAGGAGCCATTCTCCTAGAGAGCATCAAACTACTCACAAAATATACAGGACACCGGAGCAAGTCTACCTCATCACTCAACAGAATTTTATGACCATGCAGCATGGTTCTATAAAACTACCAGTAGATGCTCTTAATACTAATCAATTTATATGGCTTTTTGCTATGTGAAGAGCAGGGAGAAAGAATACAGAACAGGTGACTACAATAAAAACAACCATAAAGCACTGGGAAAAAAAAATAAATCTATTAGAACAAAGAAAAAGAGAACAACAACAACAACAACAAAAAGGTCAAAGAGTTGGCAGCAATTGCCTTATAGTACAAGAAAACACCTGAAAATTCTTCAATAGAAAAGGTTGGGAACAAGTGCATTTCAGAGAGATCAATTGGCGGCTATTGAATATATTGCAAAAATCACATCAGACTGTTGAAAATCCCAATTGCTGAAAATTCAGATTGCATAGAGAAAAGAAAACTACCTCTACATTCTTCACCATCCTGATCCTAAATGGAAGTCACTCTACTGAACAGCTTTTTTAATTGAAGACATAAGGAAGGACACAAATGTCCCTTTGTCTTAAAGATATTCATGGTTGAAAACTTTTGGTTCTTTTAAATAAAATGGCAGATTTTTTCAATACAAGTAATTGAAATTATGGTTCAAATACAGTATGTTAACAGTTTTTATGGACTGATGTTTCCATTCACAAAGAAACTTGAACATTTCAATTACGTGTTTTAGTTACACACAACGGTCATCTTCAATAATACTGGTAAGAAAAAGCAATATATTCCTCCTCAGAGGTCTGTGTTCTCAGTCTGTCATTGTAAATAACCTAGTGGTTTTTGTTTGTTTTTTTTAAGAAAATAAAAAAGCATAAAATTTTGAAAACATTTTTCTTTGACATCAGAAAAATTAATGGAATATTGCTGTTCTGATGTTGTGGTTGTTGCTTTTGAGGTGGGATGTAGACTAGCCTGCCATTTATTACCATTTTAATATTGAAACAGATATAAATTATTTACATCAGTTTATCATTTCAGAATTTAACACATTGATGCAGCTGGGTTCGTGGAGTAAGCTTCACTACAATGGGGAACGATTTTATTCTTTGCAGTTAAAACTCCAGCCATAACAGATCATTATGATGCGTTTGCATTTATTTTATATGGTTTTCAAAAGCACAAAAAGAATACTGGAAAATAAATAAGAAATGTATAATTCTGATGTGAATGTTTCTGGATGTCAAATCCAAGTAAATTATTTTAATGCATATACTGGAGTTTTCTTATATATAGGTGTGAGCATGCATTCAAATAAACATGAAGTTCTTTGAATGTGTAATCACTGAGAAAATAGCACAGCTGCATTTACTTCAGTGCATGATGCTCCTGATCTTCTGCAGATATGGAAAGCTTTACATCATGGTGTATCAAATATTTAGAATTTGATTCTGTAAGTGCTCCATGTTTGGAAATCTGAGGGTTTTCAGTGAAAACCCTGATGCAGTATGACAAAGTCTGCAAGATTAGTAGCTCACCAGAAAATACAGTTTTCAGATACTTTAAAATATACATTTAAATTGTTTGCAAAATATTCCAGAGACTATAGAACAGTTAAACCATAGATAATGAATTTTCCTTAATGGGAATATTGTCCATAAGACCTAGTCCTGATAGAACTTCCTAAATGACATAAGTGAAAATACATAAAATCATGTTTTTAATCAAGTTCTACTTTAGAGGTACCTGGCTGTTCATTGTTTTACAGATAGAACTGTCAGGCATTATAAACTAGAAATGTTTCTAGATACCTACTGGGCAAGACCTCTTCAGATAACTCATTACATATGGTTAGAGTAGATTTAACAAAGATTTACAGATTTATTTTATATTGTGCTATAATATATTTTAGATTTCAGCATATGTATAATTTGCATTAAAACTTTTGACCCATTAACAATTGGTAATGGAAATCACTTTTCAGCTGTTTACATCATCATGTCAACCAAGTAATTCAATTCTTTTGTGTGTGTGTATGAATTTCTACATGTAGGATTGAACATAAACCAGAATAATCTCATGCTGTAGTAATTATTAATGCTTTCATGGCAATACACTATACTTATTTTTAATTTGTGTTAGTTCTTCTCTAATGTTCTTTCCAGCTGTTGGCTGTCTCTTGAAGGAGGGCTACTTTATGCTTTCGTTGGACCTGCAGCTGCTGTTGTCTTGGTAAACATTAATATCATTTCCAATATTTTCATATGAAATGGTGGAATGTGCTATTTAAATTATAAAAGCTTAGCTATACCATAGAACTAAGATTTGCTGTAATTATTGAGCTTGGTTTAACATACCATCAGTATTTTGAATACATGATATACTTAATTGTACCACATCTTTATATCAGTTATCTCAGCATGCTTACACAGTAAGCTATGAAAGAATAATGTGCTGATTGGTGGCACACAAAACTTGTTACAGGTATCACTGAGTTATTATCAGTAGCATCTACACAGTTGTCACTGCCTTGTAAAGTTCAGTGACAGTCTTGATAGAGTGCTGCTTGGCAGCAAAAGCAACAGAATGAGTGGAACCAGCCAGCAAGTTCTCCATGGCTCCTGCTTTTCAAGGAAAAGAAAAAGTCATCATAGCTGAGAAATGTTACTCACTTTTGTATTAAACTTTTGCATTTCTGGAAATGCATTTATTAGTAAGATTCACTTTGTCTAATTTTAGACAGCTACAATATATATTTCTACATATATGCTAGTTATTCCAGATGCATGTTGCTGTCAGTGGAGAAAAGTATGCACTTTTAGGGCTCAAATAATCAGATATATTTCAATTTAGAGTAAGATGAATTGCACCCATTATGTGCCACTGGCTATCAGTCATCTGCTCTGCACTCTGTATGGATTTTGTAAAATAATTTGTTTCACATTTTTCCCTGAATTCTTGAAGGAGATTGCAGACTTTGAATCTAATTCTTCTTTCCCCTGCACCAATTTTATACTAGGATAGCTCTATCAATACCAGTTGTCTCTGATTTTCCCTTGCAAAAGGAAATCAGTCTTAGTAGTCATCAAAGATAAAGCCATTTAGCTCCAAAGATTATCCTGAAATGGATGTTTACTACTCCCATAGAGTTTGTCTCATCATTGCCTGGAGTCAAGCCAGGATCCTTTTGTACAACTCACAGTCCCTGTCATGATAGAGGAGCCAAGGATGTTTACAGAAAGCCAGGCATAATTTTCACATGGAACTGTATGTTCTCTTTGTAATTGGCAAGCTTTGTTCAGAGATGTTTGAAGTTCACAGTTGCAGTTTGCCCTACCATTAGCTAGTGACTGTGCAAGGAGCTGTTCTATGCAGCCACTTAAGCCTAAGTGTATGAAGCAAAGGAATTGTATGGCATCAGCTGGAAAATGTAAATGCTGAAAATAAAGTGATGATAAGAAAAGACGAAAAAGAGTTGGCAGGACAGACTGGCAACAATTAAAGATTTTGGCATAGGTCTTGGAAAATCTGTTTGAAAGAAAAAAAGGATCACCGTTTTCTAATCAGAAAAATAAGGAAAGTTTTTTCAATACACTGAAAACTTGGTACTACCTCTTCACAAGGCCATGCAGAGTTAGTTTCATAGAGTTCAGTTCAATAATACAAATGGATAATAACAGTCATTAAGTTGTCCATTAAATGTCATTAGTATGTCCATAGATTGCCAAAGTCTGACTGCCAAAACACTTGGATTTTTTTTTTTAAGGTTAATTCCTCAACTGATGCATGTAGGCATAAAACCATGTACTTTAATGGGGATAAACAGACTTACCCTAGGCATTAATTTGACCCCCACTCTCCACAACCCTTCCCCGCCCCCCCCCCCCCAAAAAAAAAAAAAAAAAAAAAGAAGGTGTATTTGGGGAGGACAACTGCAGTTAAACAAGGTTCAAGGCTGGCATTTTGGTGAATGAGACAGTGACTGATGTACAGGAGCTATGAAAAACCACAGGCTGGTTCTGCTTAAGTGAGGACACCCACACAGGCATTAAGTGCTTAAAAAGGAACATAGTCATGGCCATTTGTGTGCACTGACTAAGTCTGCCCAGTGCACTTAATTCAAATTCAATGCTATGTGATTTTCCTGGAATAGAATACATAATTGCAATTAAAACCAAGGAAATATTAAAGCTATATTACTCAAGTTTCTGGCCAGCAGACACATATGCATATAACTTGGTACCAGATATAATTTAAGATTCAAAAATAAGCCTATTGCAGTGTGCCAAAGTACAATCCATTTGGGAATATACATTTCTAGTGGGCTTGGGGATGGTGTCACATGATTTCTGACAGCATACTCAGAAATGTAACAAGATGCATATTGCAGGCTTGGAAAAGCCCTTTGCTGATGCAACAGGATAGGTTATTTTCTTTCAGAAAAAGATCAACTGTTCATTTTTTGTTTGACAGGTCAACATGGTGATTGGCATTTTGGTATTTAACAAACTCGTTTCCAGAGATGGAATCCTAGACAAAAAGCTCAAACACAGAGCGGGGTAAGCAGAAATTGTGGGGTTATTTTAAAGCATATTCAAATTGTATCAATGGTTTCCAATTACAGACATTCACTGAAAATACATCTGATTATGCTTTGAACCTTTATACCAGTATAATAGTGTCTAACAGATTCCATTCATCTCAAAAGTTGCAGTTGCATTATCCTGAAGGAATGCAACTAAATAAACTAAACATAATAAAACACAAGTACAACAGTATTAAGTTAATAACAATGAGGATTAAACAAATCTAAGCAGAGATTTCACAAGGATGTCACATATTTAAAATTGGTGCAGTTAGGAAAATAATTTTATGAACGGTGTGCAATGAAGGAACTGATTATTTTTCTATCTAGCTGTCAAATTTAATTACTGTGGTGGGAAATGTTATTTATTTGCGTAAACTGTTATAAAACATATTTTACAGCAATATAGCCCTTACTGAGGTCAATGCTATTCTGCCTGTCTTGACTCTGTGAAGAATTTGTCTATGTTCTGACATTTGTATCTACTCAGACATATGTTCTAATTTAGTAAAACAAAAATTGAAAGTTAAAAAAAAAAAGTACTAAAAGCCAAAAATGGGGGGGGGTGTAAATTCAAATCCTGTGTTATCAATTATTTATTTGCATTTAAATTTAAATTCATTTTTTATTATGAGAAAAAAAAGGTTTATAACAGTGGTGGTATTGAAAAATGTTTTTCAGTGGATGATTGATTCGACATGCTGCCGCAGCAAACCTAGATTCATCCCATATTGTAGAAAAATATTTTGCAATTTCATCATCACTTTCTTAATGCTTACAAAGTAAATTAAAAATTTGCATACTCATTTTTACAGCCATATTCTAGTACTGTCTTTTGGACCAGCTTGTAGACCAATATCTGCATATCTAGCAATGATAAACAATGATATTTTCATTTTACTGTGTATTATTGCTGTTGGTAAAATTTTTAAAGGTTTGCTTTGAACTATTTCACCATTCCATTAACAGTACTATTCCTAATAAATTCAATTGATTGGTTGGATGAACAGACATGATAAATAGTTTGGCTGGTGATTTTAAATTAAATCATTCCGGTTTTAAGTTCTTTCACTGTCTTTCTGACAAATATGAACCAGAAGCTTTCATTTTGTTTCTTCTCTTTTCTTCATTTTTCTTTACAAAGTATTAATTTCTTAACCTTACTTTTGTCTACATTATTCCATCAATATCCTTAACTGTGTAATACCTCTGATGAAAGCTAGAATATTAGAAAACTAGCCAAATTATTTCAAGAGTAGTAGTAACTCAGTATTCTGCAAATTACATTCACAACTGCTCTAATTACAGTGATTTCAGGAGTGTGACCAGCTTCAGGTTTGTCTTTGTATATTTCCTAAGGATGTCTAAGCTTAGATTTAACTGAATTATTTTTTCAGCAACTCAACTGTAGGCTATTGAAATCTATTTGTTTATAGCCTACTTTCTTGATGAAACAAATAACTTGCTTTAACAGTGTGCAACTTAGTTAAGATGTATTTTATTTTAAACTAAATGGATAAAGAACTAGAAACCATTGTCAGAAGCAATCCAGTTATGTGTAAGCATGTAGATGCCCTAATCAAGAAACAATCAACTCCTGTGACACTATGAGATGGTGGTTTGGCAACAGCATTACTTGCTACTACTTGGCAGACGAAAAGCCTTGAGTCATCGTTTGGGGCATAGGAATTTGTGCAGCATTTGGTCTCCGGTAGTGGCATTGCCACTCATTTCTCAAATATCTCTTGCCAGTCATGTTCAGGAAGGCAACTTTATTCTTTCTGGCAAATATTGGACTCACACTTGTCAAAAGTTCAGCTGTAGAAATAATTTATGTGGTGAATGGGGCAAAATATATTAATTCCATATGATTTTCCTACCTTTATGAGTGTAGGGTGAATCAACAAATGAAAAAATATGGCATGTTTTCTTGATGGATATCAGTCATACTTCTGGAATAGGGAATAGTGTACATGTATGCTCAGACAAAAAGGTTGTATTTGGCTAACATATACATCAAGCTCAATTATCATTTGCAAGATCCAGAATAGATCTATAGAGGTAAAAAGAATAAACCAGTCCAATAACAGTGAAGTTTTGTGTAGCAAAGATGGAAAGTGTTTGCCCAAACTTAGCCTAGGCTTATTCATGGCATGTTTCTAGTTCAGTCATAGCCTAGTGTAAACTGATGTGGAGCCACTGAGTTTTTTTCACATCCCACAATCAACTTGTACAAGGTCATGGCTCTGCATAGTTGTTTTTACAGAAAGTCATGGTTTCATTTAGTTTATCAAAATGGAAGCCACTGGAGTTCAATATTTGTTTTGGACAGTATGTTTGAAGTCAAGTGAATGTTGGGTTTGGCTATAAAAAGGGTGTTAATTTGATTGAAATAATTTGGAAAGAACCTGAAGTGTTACCTCTCTTCAACATGTTGACCATTTTCCAGCTGGGAATAGGTAAAGCATCTTTCCTGTCACGTCTCAGTCAGCTATGGTTATTCCTGGTTCTGACAACAGAAAAAGAAGGAATAGCAAAAGTATTTATTTAGTCAACTCAGGAAGCTGAATGTGTGCTGTATGTAGAAGAAAATTTAAATTCCAGGTTTTGCCCTTTAACTCTTCTGACAGGTGCTGAGGTACAAATGTCCATACAAAATGCTTTGAGCTTAATGCTTGTGTACTGTGTTTTATTAAAATGCAAAACAGGTCACCCTTTTTTCAGTACCAACTGATATTTATTTCATCAGATTCCATACATTACAAGCCCTGTATTCAGACCTTCATACAGCATGAATAAAACCACTTCAGATGTTAGTGGGCCATTCAAATCACTAGTACAAATCTGACGATACAGTATACCCATACTGATTTGATGCTTGAATATATTTTGCAAGTTTCTTTCCCTAATTGCTCTGCAATTTTATGTACTTCATACTTCCCTTGCTTGTGTCCTATACTCTTTCTCAAGAACAAAAGCTTTTTAACAGGTCTGAATAGAGGGATTTCACTTTGTATGTCTATCCTAGCACGTGCTTATGTTTACTTCAGTGTACTGAGCAGTTTTGATCACAAGATATTTGGGGCCTTTCTTAGCTTAAATGGAAGAAATAGAGTCTGCATGATATGAAGCCCCATGGCATTAACATTTACAGTTAATAATAATGTAAAGTATAACATACAGTTTTGCAACAACATAGACCATTCATCCTGAATAAGTCTACTTACTTTTTTCTGCATGACGTCATATTTAAAAGCTAAATTTCAGTAGCAACGTTTTTTGGTGACAATTCAATATTTTGTTCTTTTTGTGGGTGTTCTGTTTGTTTGCAGTCAGATGAGTGAGCCTCATAGCGGTTTGACGCTCAAATGTGCCAAGTGTGGAGTAGTTTCAACAACAGCTTTGTCAGCCACCACCGCCAGTAATGCCATGTTAGTCCTGATCATTTACATCTTCTTGTTACAAATCTTATGCAGTGCATGTGAGACAATAGTTTGATGATGACAACTGTGTTTGCTAACACTGTATAGAGTGCTGAGCACGTTTAAGTACTTTATAACAACAACAAAAAAAAAATGGAACTGTTTATTAACTGAATACAGGATATTCTTTAGAACATAAAGTACCAACACTGTTACATACTTGTCTGTGATTTTCAAGTTAACTTGATAAAGTGCCATCCTTAAAAATGTATTATTTTAAAAGTGAGCATTTGATTATTTATTTATTTATTTATTTATTTATTACAATTTTACAGTGCAGCTTTTCTTTTTCTTTCAATAGGGCATCCCTTTGGAGTTCCTGTGTGGTGTTGCCACTTCTGGCCCTGACTTGGATGTCTGCAGTTCTGGCTATGACAGACAAAAGATCAATATTATTTCAGATACTTTTTGCAGTATTTGATTCATTACAAGGCTTTGTTATTGTCATGGTCCATTGTATTCTCCGAAGGGAGGTGAGGAATGGCTTCCCAGTTTTCTAAAGGGCTGTGTTCCCTATAAACTCTCAACTGCTCTTTAATATCATGTACAACTTTCTCTACAGATTTATATTTTGTAACAAGAGTAAAGTATTTTATGATGAGATGTAGAGGAATAAGTGAGAGTGGAAAGATCACTCAATTCCAGGTGCAGACTGTCAGATTCAGTATAAAACTGTACACACTTGATTAAAGGTGGCTTTTAGTCAGTTCCAAATTCAGTTTATTTCCCAGTGTTAGGCTTTTCCGGTATCCTGAGTATAGAGAGATTCTAACATGAATGCCCTTTTCTTGAAGAACAAAAGAGAGAGATTTTTACAGTCTCTAGCACCAATTCAAATACAAAATTATTTCTGTTTATACTTCCCCTGAAAGAGGATTCATGGAGATGAGACGTTGGTGAAGAGCTATCTCTTCAGTTTCTACACATACAGGTGCTAACATGCATAAGTTAGCAGGACAATGAGAATGAACTGAAATGAACATTTTGAGAATATCAAAGAAAAGCCAGTATCCCTGGACTACCCTTTGTAGCTCAGTTTTGCATATCACCACTGATATCAGATGTCAAAGCTACTGTATGAGTGCTCTTTAACTTGACTCTGGTGACAGCTTCGTTAACAGTCTGAACTACTAGCTAACCCAACACTTTAACTGAGATAAGTTTGCCAGATTTGTGGAAGTGGGAGCATCTATCAAAAATGGGCTGATGGAGCCAGACTGGAGAGCGGTAGCTTGGTTCCACCAGCATATCTATTTACAGAGCCCATGCCTGTTTAGACTCCAAGTGTGGCATTTATCAACTTCAGGATATTTACCACATCAATAAACTACATTACATTGTCTAGCACAGTTTCTTGTGATTAGCAAGAGTTATTCAAAGGCATTTCAGGACTGAAAAAAAAAAAAAAAAAAAAAAAAAAAGCAAACAGGGAGATGTTTCAAGAGAGGTTTACTGTCAGTACTGAGTGAGGAATCTAACACATTGGTTTTCCTTTCCACCTGTCACACCCTTTAAACACTGAAATTCACCATATTCATGAATAACAATTATAAATGATGTAATTTATTTTAGTCTTCCAATGGTGTACTACTTTACACAAACTTTATATCACTATTCTAAATGGTATGAATATTAGACTATACTATCAAATAATCATTTTCAGATTTTAAGGAAAAACTTACCAATATCTTTCAGAATTTATCTTGTGTGTAAGTGTGTGCTGACTCCACCCTACGTTATTTAAGCTGTTAAAGACTACGAACCTTTATTTTCCTTAGTTTTCATAGTGGAAGGGGCTTATCTCCTTTACTAACATTTTTATTGTTATTGTTGTTCGGGATAAAAATATGTACAGATAAGAGATGTTACTGTGGATAATCTATATCATGCAGAGCTGCCTTACTATCCCTTTATTTTCAACAGCAGTTTCCTACCCCATGTGATTTACATCTGCAAAAGAGGTCATTCTCATCTGTATTGCTGAAAACTACCATTTAACATATTGTTTTAGTATAATGGTAAAATAGTGCCATTATTTGTAGCCAAAATTTTCAGGAGAAAGAATGGCAGTTTCATTCTGGTTTTCCTGTCCATGAAGTTTGTATTTCCTAGGGATAAATTAATTAGCCTGGAAAGAGCAGACCACCTCCCACCTCTTGGCCTGAGGATCCGTACTTATTTAAAAATATATATCACAGTTGCAGATGAAACCTTCAATTTTTGCTCTTATATAGTGTTATGCTATGTTACTTTTACAATTTCTCATGGGTTTTGGTCTTTTTTTTTTTTTTTTTACCAAATCCAATGATTTATATCCACATATGCACTGCAACCTCTCTGCATCCTTACAAAGATAATGCTGTTTATATTTTGGTTTTGAAGATTTTTTTATTTTTTTGGTTTTGAAGATTTCATCTGCAATTGTGAGCACTGCCTTAGTGCAGTAATGCAGGAATTTTTCTGGAGAGAGATTTTGACTGTTTAAGATGAAAGTAATGTGGCTTCCCACAACGACCCAAGCATTGATTTGAAGTCAGGTTTTACAGCTCAATGACAACTATTTGCTGAAAGTGTTTCATTCCTAGGGAACTCTTGGATGTTGTTGATCATCTAGTGAAAATATTACTTTCCAAACTTAGAGGTAGGACTCTAGCAATTTTCATATGGAAGAAGAAAATGATTAGACAGTTCTTCAAGAATGGGAAAAAAAAAAAAAAAAAAAAAAAAAAAAAAAAAAAGTAAAAATTGACTCACCTGAAGAGTTTTTGTTTGTTTGTTTGTTTTTAAAAAATCGTGTATGGTCTGCACTTATATGAGCCAGTTTGCAGTAGCAAAGACGTAGTTGCTAGCTTCAAGAAGTTTCTACACAGAAGGAGATATAACTCCAATAAGATGTGTTTCAATCTGGCTCTAGCAACCCTGACTTTCTACTCCAGCTCTAGAGACCCTTTGGTGAGTTCTTGTACAAGCCCAGATAAGCCATCGTGCACAGCATGCAATGCAGTCTTTGCAATTCACAGGGTATCTCCCCAGCTGAAAGAATAGTCTGTTTCCTTATGTTGTCTGCAAAAGCTTTTTGCTCTGCCAGTGTGTGTCAGAGAAACCCTGCCAACATATTTGTCATTCTTGATGACAGCTACAAAGCTATCTCAGTAATATCCTATAGGATTGATCTAATATTTATAGCATACCAGCACAGGAAAAACAGTAATTCTGACTGTCAGGGGAGGGGGAATGTGTAGTGGAATATATCACCATAAAATTCAAACTAAGAGGACAGCCCTGCTTTGCTATACCCTTATTGTTGTTATATTACATACAAAGAGACATAGACTTTTATAACTCACTCTATAAAACCCACTTATTTCCCTTTAGCTATAAAGATATAAACATAAATGATGGAAACATTTTTTGCTTTCACCAGTATGCTATATTGATGAGCTTGTGTGACAAGGGTTGCACTGAGAACCCAGGGAGATTCACTAAGACACCCAACTAGAAGAGAACTGATGTGCTGTATGATGTGCTGAGTCTATTTCTTCCATCCATCAACTAAGGGTCTTTTGGAAAGATATTAAACCTCTCTATACTTTATTTTCCTAACTTCTAAATTAAACATCATGCTTGTAATGCCATGCCTCTTAAAAAACAATTTGAAATTGGGAAAGAAAAAAGCAAAGTAAGACTTAGGCATTATTGCTTTATGTAGCCTTCATAGCCCAGAAAGCCTAATATTTTTTCTCTTCTTCTTGCTGTTTGAGTGCCTAATTGGGCATTGGAAGAGAGTGAGGAATATGTCACAGAACAAAGAATGATAGGAGAGGGTAGTGCTGAAGCTTCTTCTCCATCAGAGCAAAATGTTTTGCCTGACCTGCTTCAACATGAGATTTTCTAAAGCTAAATTTCAATCATACTGAGTAGCTCCCGTTACTGCTGGTGATGGGAGTAACCCACTTGTGTTCTCTCTTTTGCTGTGCTCTGCTGACTAGAGTGCATTTGAATTAAATGCATCATTGGTGTCTAAAGCCCACATTTCTGTATTGAAGAAAAAAGGGGGTGGGAGGTGGGGGAAGTATATTAGTAGGGAGAGGGTAAGTTATAAAGTCTTTGGGTTGGTTACTGTTGCTAAGGAAACTACTTCTTTGGTATCTGCACGTTCATCACATCTGTCTCTCCTGCTCTGCCTGGCTCTAAGAAAATCTTGTAATGATGTTAGAAGGCATGGAGGAAACAAGATTATGTTTCAAAGTAAGAGGTAAAGAAAGCACAATCTTAGCCAATTCTAACAAGTTTGAACAAGTGGTTTAGAACAAGAAGCCGGTATTTAGGCAGCTCACAGTGATATTTGATATTCTGTTAACATGTTCAAATCATATGCTGCTTGCCCTCCAGAAACATTCTAAGAAACATGCATGTATAAAATCAGGATTCACCACTAGAAAGTAAGGAAAGTAGGGCATAATATTTTTGAGAGCTCCAGAGCTATCTGAACCAGGGAAGCTTCATGAACACAAGTCCCAAACATAAGGAGGGACATTGCATAGAGTGAGAGGTTACAGAATATTCTGAAATAATTATGCTTTAGGGTCAAGCATCATGAGGTCTGAGATGAGATGTGGCTTAGCTGGGGGTGTTTCAGAAGGCATGATATTTATTTTTTTTTTGATAAAACCGTTGTGCCAGTGCTTATCTAAGACCATAACAGTCTGAAGTGTGACTTGACTAAAGCATTGATAAAGTGACAGAAGACTTGGATTAAATTTGCGACAACTGTGAGATGCCAAATTAAATTAATATCAAACTTGTGGAAAACCAGTCAGTGTAGCGCCTAAAATCAGAATCTGAGTCAAAATACAGGTCAAGCACGTTCTACATTACCACATGTGGGAAGTCTTGGCATTTTGAAATCAACCCAAACTTATACCACCTTATTTCATTCTTCTTTCTTCTCTATATTACATCTTTCTGCACCTGCCTCAGTGACTCTTCAAAACTGAAGAGCACTGTTAGTCATCTAAGGTTTCAATACTTTAAAATAATGCTTCCTAATTACAAAAAAAAATTTATCTTCTACTTAATTTTACCTTTTGTGAAAGCTTTTAAACAGCTTGCGGTAGAATATAGTGTATTGAAAAGGGATGCCTTTACATCAGCAACAATTAATGAATTATCCTCTTCTGCTATTCACAAAATGTCCTTGAGTAGTATATGATTTTCTACCATTTAATTATTCTGAATAAGACATCAAGTAATTTCTACAGATAATAAAAGGAATGTAGATTTTTGGAGTTATTTCCATTGAGAGTATTTTCATATTCCAACACAAAATGATACTTGTTTGTTTTGAGTGGAGGTCACCCAAGTAAGTTCCTATTTTCTAAGTCACATCTTGTAATCAGGTTGCTAACATGGGTACTTACATTTTTTGAATCAAAATTCAAATTTTAATACTTAGATTGTATTACTATATTAGAATACATCTGAAGATACATAAAGAAGTGAGACAAATAAGTTTTTTTATTCAAATAAATATTATCTGTATACTTTCAATGTATTGATAAAAATATTCCTTTCCATTCCAAAAGTTATCTTCTTGTCCCTACTGTGGTATGTGTGAGAATTCAGCAAAATCTATTTACGTTTCACTGCTAGCAAAGTCATCAAATTTAACTTATGGTTCATATTAATAAACAGAACTGAGAAATTCCTCTTCTCTTCTCTTCTCTTCTCTTCTCTTCTCTTCTCTTCTCTTCTCTCTCTTCTCTTGAGCGTTAGAGAGCGGAGAGGAGACGGCGGGAGAGGAGAGGAGAGGAGAGAGCGGCGCGGAGAGGAGGGAGAGGAGCGGAGCGGCTAGAGGCAGGAGAGAGAGGAGGGAGCGCGAGGAGAGTAAGAAGGACAAAGAGAAAGCTTAGGAGAGAAAGGAGAAATGAAAAAAAAGAAAGGAAGGAAAGGGGAAGGAATGAAAGGAAAGGAAAGAAGGAACTGAACGGGGAAAGGCACTTCCCTTCCTAAAGAAAGGAAAGGAAAGGCAAGGAAAGCACCTTACCTTACCGCCGACTGTTTCCCGGCCAGGGGAACTTCCCTCCCTTCCATTCCTCTCCCTTCCCTTCCCTTCCCTTCCCTTTCCCTTCCCTTTCCCTTCCCTTCCTTTTTTTTCATTTCAAGAAACCAGACATGTTCAAGCAGTCCATTTTTCTTCTTGTTCTCACACTGAAGATGTTTGCCCACTTTGAAGAGTTTTACTCCTAGAAGAGACATAAGATTTCTTATACATAGAACTTACAATTGCAATCAGTAACATCTTTCAAACTGACTTATTCTTTGAAGTATAATTAGGAAAGTACTATGCATCTGATGACAGTAACTGTTAAGAACTGTCTTTGAAGAATCTTGCAATTATCAAGCAGAAGACATATTTTGCAGTGGTTAGTAGCGTTTCTATGAAACCTGCTTTTAGACCTACACCAAACTGAATGAGAAGACAAAGACAAATGTTATTACCCAAGACAGATTAGGCTTGAGTACCAGGTCATTGCTGACTACTATTTAATTCTTTCCACTGGCAAATCCGATACTGTGGTCTTGGTGTGATTGATTGACAAACTTTGCAGCAGGTACAATACCAAATGTATGAAATGTCAGAATTAAGCATTTATGTTTCCCATTTCTGATTTACTAAACATGCTAAAGAAAAGCCATGCATTGTATTCCATTTGGTTTGATTTAAACTTTAATAGGAACGGAGTATATGATGTCACACAAGAATGAGTATAAGATATTGTTTCCACAGGTTCAAGATGCATTCAGATGTCGACTAAGAAATTGCCAGGATCCAATCAATGCAGATTCTTCAAGTTCCTTTCCTAATGGACATGCTCAAATCATGGTTAGCTTTTATTTGTTTTCTTTGACTGTTAATTTAAACAAAAGGAAAGAATTTAAAGTATTGCACATGGCAAGTATGCACAGCTGAAATATTAACACTATTTTCAAGCATAAGTCTGTTTAGGTCATTATCTGCTTGCTTAAATCTGTTAGCAAGTTTTAAATTATTGGTGTGATCATTCAGTGGAGCACAATGCATTACCATCTTCCACCAGTGTTCTTCATGACAAAATATTCTTACATAAGAGAAGGAGAAAAACTAATCTTATATAATGACTTTTTCTACCATTGGTATAAAGAGCACTGATGCATTTGAGAGTCTTTCCTTCACAAAGCCTTGAAAGATGTTCCTTTCAAATTCATTCAGACAAGGAGAAAGTAATAGAGGTGTAGATTAAGTGGTTGGATTAAGGAGATAGTGAACAGATTACTATACCAATTTGGATTTACTAATACTGTTAGGTAGTATATTAAGACAAAACATTGTCCCCTTCACTTTCAAAGACAGTTTGTCATTTATGATAATGGGGACATGATAAGACCCTAAAAAATGCAGGGCTCAGTAAGCAGTTACCCTTGGAAAAAAAAAAAATCAAAAAAAAAGTATCCTTTGTTTTGACTTCATAAACTAGAATAACGTCAGTTCTTTTTTTTATTATTATTTTTTTATATTATTTTTTGTAATTAATAAACCTATTGTGGAAATAAAAAACATAATTGATAAATACTTGCATTCTATACCAGAATAAATAGTGTTGCTTAACTGGGGAAATTGTGTTTGGATTTTCAACTCTTAAAATTCATTCCTGGTTCCTATAATATGTTTTTATTTGTTGAAATACATAATAGTTGTTTTCAAGGAAGAAAAATTTTACATGATTACATTAGTAGCCAGGATAGACAGAATACTATATAACAAATAACCACTTCATAACAAATTAATGAAGTTTCAGATAGGGTGGACTAACTGTATTACGCTTATTCACAATAATTTGTATAGCAGGCTGCTTTCCATACTGATGTTTATAGTATAACTATGAAAAGCTTCCTTAAAGATGATCCTTCCAAGAGATGTAGAAGTTACTCTTCCATATATATAATATTATATATACACTGTATCATTTTATTACAACTATATACTCTATTTCCACCTATTTTATTTTATTTTTTCTGGTCAGGCAGCATACTTTGAAAACCACCCAGTTATACTTTAGGAAACTTTGTAAAGCTCTGCTGTTGTAAAACAATATACTTCACCTTCTCAGCAACAAGAAACCACTTTTAAGAGACTATGACTCTGTAAGTAGGACATTTTGGAAGCGCTAGTTGGCAAAAAGGTATTGTGGTTAAGTTTTCAGTTAATAATGGTTACCCTGTTTCATTGTTTCTTGTTACAGACTGATTTTGAAAAGGACGTGGACATTGCTTGTCGGTCAGGTAAGATCACTGAGAGAGTGTTTAGCTAAAAAACAAAACAAAAAAAAGAAATTGTGCTAGTTCTTTCTGAAGTAGATGTCAGAAAAAATACCATGTGTTGTTTACAACATGTAGTTATAAATGCTGGGAAAGAAAAAAAAAAAAAGTGATGCCACTATATGAAAATATTTGTTTCATTTTCTTGTAAAAGCCTTTTACTAGAAATCAGCATCTGGGAAGCAGCCCAAAGGTGTGACTGTCTCTTAGAAGGCAAAAGGTTTTGGAAAGAAAATAAGATTTACACACAAAATTATCCTTTCTCTAGTACACAAGCAATTGTGAAAGACATTTTGTTTTTAAAAAATAAAAACTGTATAACATATATTAAAACCTATTTATATGAAGGATGCAGAAATTGGTGTTAGTTTTGAAAAGGCTGTTTTCTAAGGCTTTAAGTGAAACCAAAAATAGCTTAAGCAACAAGGTATCAGGAAAATAAAATATGATTCCACTTTATAGGAATAATTTATTTTTCTTTTAAAGACATTTCAGTAGTGTGATCTTCAATTAGTCAGCTTTGTCTGTTTCTACATATTAAAAATAATTCATTTTAAGAAATTACTTTTTCCAGCTTAAATAAAGCACAGTGAAAAACAAATGGCCCTCTAAACCCCATAGAAATGCTCCAGTCCAGGAAATTATCCAAAGGACAGTTGTTCTTAAGGAGGTGAGTCTACCTAGACACCCTCTATTTTCAATGAAGAGAAAAAGAAAGAGACAGAGGGGGACTTCTCTGCAGGGTGAGTCAGGGCAGGACAGCTGAGTCCTGCATCACCCACCAAAGCCCGTCTTTGCTTGCTGTATGGCAAGCCAAGAAGGCTGATCTTATTAGGTAGAGCTTGAGTTTCTAGTCACACACCTTTAAAAAATTACCACCTCTGTTTCTGGAATATGGTAATTGTTCTCTGTGTAGATTAGTTTTAATATGAACATTGGAAGGGACAGGACAGTCCACTGTAACATAAAAATTCATGCCTGTTATCATCTAATGCAGAGGAAAGTCCAGCATTAGTTGATGTAGCTCTCTCTTCTTACCTTTGCCACCATAGCTCTTCAGCATGGACAGCCTTAAGCAGATGGATTCTGAATTTAAAAAATTATCTTCAGTTTCTTTTAATGAAAGATTGACTAACAGGTCACTGTTTGAAGTCTGGCTGTAAAAAAAAATGCAGCAGACACACTGCATTGCACAGAATGGACTGGGGTGCCAGGACATGGGGATTGTAAATTGTCACAGTGTCAGATATTTGTGTATCATTGTTTACAGGCAAATTGTTCTCTTCATAATTGAAAAATTAGCATCAGTTTTTGTGAGGTAGGAGAGTGGGCTGCCATATGAGCTGCCTGTGGAACATGTCAGTGAACTGACAGGTACTGGAGGATCTGGGTCATCAGAGCCCTCAGGCTACCAAAACCGATGTGAGTGTAACACCTGAGATACTTCCAGTCATCTTACTGTCTCAGTCCATGAGAAAAATTTTATTGCACAAGCTGGTATTGGTGCAAATTAACATACTATTTTAAATCAGGACAAAAAAATATCCTTGCACTCAGCTGGAACAAGCCCAGGAATTGGATATTTCTAAAATTTTTCATTCTTACTACCTAGCCTTTTTTCTTTCATTACAAATTTTGAATTTCAAATTTATATTTAATTTTCAGAGTGATAGTGATGGATGCTTTGCTGTTGAATACATCTGTCGGTGTTCCTGAAAAATTTGGTTTTTAGGGACAGGATTAATAAAATTTACATATGCAGCTTACCCTAATAAAAAATTGCTGGATTACAGTACAACTTTGACCATGAAGGCCTACACCAAAAGTAGAATAATGAATGCTTTATGAGACATGTTTATATTCTTTATAACCTCTCCATATGTAGCAAAATATGTCTTTCTGATAGCAATGGAATTCCTTCCCAATGTGGTTACTTTTTGTCAATTTTATTTAAAAATAACTGAACACAGAAGAGTTTTGTGGTTTTATATATATATATATATGAAAAAGAACATTTAGAAGCTCAGGAATACATGTCCATGGCTATAATCTTACAATAGAAGATTGCAACATATTGACAAAATTATACTGCCTTACAATCTGTTTGACATTTTCCAAGAGGTTATGTGGAGTTAATAATGGTAGTACAGATGTCATACTGTTGTGTTTTTTTGGAAAACCCTTAATTGAGTTCCACATTCTTAAGCTGCAGGTCACCTACGATCTACATAAGGAAGTAACAATAAATGAAGGACTGGTTTTCCTTTATTTAAATGACTGAGGCTTAGTCAGATATGTATGTCAGTTATACACAGAATATTAGGAGGTGTTGATTATACAAAAACCCTTCCCAAAGCAATACTTATAGAATAAAAGTTATTAAACACAGAAAAAGAGTTAAGAAAATGCAATGGTAAAGGGAATATTACTAAATACTGCCACGAACAAAAGCAGAGTTTGAGAGACATGGTTTCATGTTTCAAGAAGTCTGTTCTCTGACCCACAGTTCTTCATAAAGACATTGGACCTTGCAGAGCAGCTACTATAACAGGAACACTTTCTAGAATCTCACTAAATGATGAAGAGGAGGAGAAGGGACCAAACCCTGAAGGAATGAGCTATTCTACCTTGCCTGGAAACATCATCTCTAAAGTCATCATCCAACAACCAACAGGTCTCCACATGCCTATGAGTATGAGTGAACTGGCTAACCAGTGTTTGAAAAAAGACAACAGTGAGCTGCGCAGGACTGTGTACTTATGCACGGATGATAATTTGAGAGGTGCAGATATGGACATAGTCCATCCTCAAGAACGGATGATAGAAAGCGACTACATAGTAATGCCCCGAAGCTCAGTAAACACCCAGCCATCACTGAAAGATGAGAGCAAAATGAATATAGGCATGGATACATTACCTCATGAAAGGCTGTTGCACTACAAAGTTAATCCAGAATTCAATATGAATCCTTCTGTAATGGACCAATTTAATATCAATTTAGACCAGCATCTTCCCACCCAAGAACATATGCAGAGTTTACCATTTGAGCCCCGCACAGCAGTAAAGAATTTCATAGCTTCAGAGCTGGATGACAATGCAGGATTATCCAGAAGTGAAACTGGATCCACAATATCAATGAGCTCGTTAGAGGTCAGTGACACATAAACAAATTGTACACTCTGTTGTTCTAATTATATGATAAAACAATATATTGTGGCTTGTCTCTAAGGGGTCTAAGCTAATGTTTTAATTCAGAGTAAATTATTGTTTGGGATCATGCACTGCTGTTCACACATCTCTTAGTATTAGAAGTGTTTTTACATAGAAAACAAGATAAAAGTTTCAGAACCAGTGTGTTTGAAACTGTACTGTCCTGGAGATTTAACATTCCAGACAACTGCAAAAAAAAAGTAATGACTTGCCAGGTCAAAACCAATGGAAAATACGATGTTGTTATGAGAATACTGCTGCAAGATACAAGTGACAATCATTGAAACTACCTGCAAGCCCATTGAAATTAAAATATTTTCCATCTTATTGCTGGCAATCATATCTCACTTAGATATGATAAGTCTGATTCTGCTCTCACTAGTATGAGTCTTGAATTCTTCCATGTGTTAGTCTGACATTTAGTGTTTTGTACGCATGTTTGTGTGGTTGTATGTGTGTGCAGGCGTTGGTACAGCTGATGTGTACAGCAAAATCAGGTAGACTTCTTGTGGATTAACCCAGATACTGGTCATGTTGTAAAAATGGACTGAAAAACCTTTAATAAGCATTTCTTTAATTACTACAATCTGTAGGATTTAAACATTACAGAAACTGGAACTACTTACCTTGTTGACCTAACTGTCAGCTATTGCTATTCCTATTGAGTCTTTAGTTATGCAAAATCATCAGCAAGGTGGAATTGATTTCATATACAGTCCCCTTTAACAATTGGAAACCCATTTCACAAGCATTTCAAAAGTTATGAAATGCAGCATTTGTTATAGGAAAGAAGAAGACAAATGAGAAAAATATGGTACTTACCCTATGAAAGAATTTAAAGATGGAAAAAAATTCTACTGTATGTGACTTTAAGCCATTAGCAATTGCTTTATGATTTTTGGAGTTGTCTGTGCAGGGAAGCAGAGGCTTTTTCCAATTTTTAAATTGTTAGACATAGAACTATACCCTATATTTCATAAAATAGATATCTATGGATATTTATTCTAAATTGAATTTTATGTGTGTATCAACTGGGGAATTTGTGAAGATCAAAACTTAGTTTCTTTCCAAGAGATGCCCTTACAAGTGTCGACTGTGAAACGTTTCCCATGTTTTTGTATTATTTGTATGCTACCTTGAGTTTTTGCAAGACATAATTTAACTGAAAAAGAAAAAATTAAATATGGAGTTTTTCAAGTAAGCAGTGTCCACTTCCTGTGGGCTCTGTTGGATTGAATATGTATAATCCTAGGATAAATATTTGAAAAGGTTTCTGAAAAATATCTTCGGTTCTTCGGTACTTCCACACTCAGTGCTCAAACAGTCTCTTTCAAAGCAAGTTAGCATCATTAAAGTTACTATCCTCAGCTCAGGTATATTAATTAATAGATCTTAGGCGGTGCACAAGATTTCTCCAATTTAATCCAATACAAAAACAGAATAGCTCAGGTCACCTTCCACTAGTATCTCCTTCTGTCTATCTACAAGTTCTTACAAGTACTTCTTACAAGTACTTTTAGTACTATATGGAGGCTCAGATCCATTCTTGTTAGTATTAGATTAGGGTGACACATCAAGGGAACAATCCTAATTCCTTGAGAAGACAGACACCTGTTACCCTACTACCCACTCTACCTAAGGTCTAAATTGCTCTCTAGTGATCTTTCTTTATTTCCATTGGTGCCAAAGGCAACCTAAAACATTGCTTCTTTAGAGTTTACTTTTACTGTATTTGTATCATATTTAAAGCTTGCTTCTATGATGTGGCATAGATAGCGAATCTAAATCACCATTCTATATATCGTTTTTATACTCAGAAGAAAGTATTAAACATGAAGTAGAAAATATAATAAAATATAATAAAATATTGTAGCAAATACTTAGTCTCTTCCAATTTGGTAAACACATTTAGTTTAGAAAGCTGTATTTTGGCCCAAAAAGCTGTAAATGGTTAAGTTATTAAAGCTAACTGAACATAATTCCATAACTTAGGGAAAAGAAAAATATATATATTAGGGTAGGTCAAAAATGAAAGGAACTGTTTTGGCTTTTGTGTCTGTCTTCATGGTTCTCAACACTACTTGATTATATAGCATTACTTCATCTTTTGTTAAGGATGAGCTGCAATGAATTGAAGATAGGAGCATGAAAAAAATGTACATAGAAGAAAATAAGTCTTAAGCAGATACAGATAAGCAGATCCAGCCAGATACAGAATGTGATAGTGGTTTTATGTATGCAGTATGCAAAAAGCAGAGTTGAGGTAAAGCCCCAGAATGCTAGAATGGCTAGAACTGACAAACTGGATTAACTTTTATTGGTATGAGAAACAAAAAAAAAAAAAAAAAAGGGAGGGCAAGGGATTTTCTTTTTCCAAAATATTTTACATCTCCAATACAATATAATTTTAGAAGAGTTTAAGACCTTTTAAAAGTCATGACTTTGTCAGGCACTATGAAGCAACAAAACCTCATTTTTCCCATGTTTTTCCAAACAGAGCCTGACCAGACTGTTCCCAAAGGAGAAGCTTCTGAGCATTAGGAAGCTTCCCTTAGCTATCAGCTAATATTGCTGTCCCGCCCAAAATCCAACATGGCAGCACATGGGTTTCTGTTCAGTAGGGGCTGTTCCCCTTTTGCTGATCCAAAGGAACAAGAGTGCCTTTCCAAAGGAAAGGAGTCCTCCTATAGTGTTTTCTTGTAATCTCTCCATGATTTGCCATTAGGTATTTCCAGGTGCTTTTTCTGGAATTACCATGCTACCGTTTGTTTTTGTTGTTTGTTTGATTGGTTTTGGTGGTTTTTTTTTGTTTTCAGCTGGACATATAGTGAAATGGAATTTAATGATGTACATTGAATAGTTCTTATCTGCCCCCTCATTTTATGGTAGATACCAGTCTTTGTGGCCATAAGACTGAACCGACAGAATTAGACAACAGTTTGGAAAACATAACCCTTAAGTATTTTCACATCTATATATATACATAGGTATATATATACCAATACCTATATATACCTAAACCTATATATATAGGTATATATATATATACCTCTTCATAGGCATATATATATATACATAGGTATATATATAGTTCATATATATGTATATATATTTAAAGTGAACATTTAAATATCGGGTCTTTTTTGTGTTCTCTTCGTTTAGACTTTGTATTGATTATGATCATTGGAGATGGATGTTTCAGAACAGAACCATAGTGTTAGCACAACAACATATGTCCTCACTTTTAACTCTGCAGGGAGGATCCATCACCCCTACTATTAAATATCTAAATGTAGGCATTCCCATTCTGACCTGGAAAGGATCTTTCCACATTAGGCTCCTCTTCAGAGTCAGCAGAGAAATATGCACTTTTAGGCCACTTTTAGACATCTACTGTAGGATGAAGTAAATCACATGCTGTCAGTGCAGCTATATACTGATACCACAGAGAAAGAGAAAATGAGTAGGTCAGGTATAAACATCAAAAATATTGATGTCCTAAATTCAGTCAGATGAATCCTACCACGTGTCACAAGCTTTCTTCTAGTTTTTACACCTACTTTTTTTTTTTTTTTGCAACAAAATTATTTGTAGGGAACAATCAAAGTTTTATTACATATGGAAGAATTTCAACTATCAAAAGATTGTTGGAGAATGTCATAATATTTACATAAATACATTGCCCAAGTAAGTATATATTTAAGGATCTGCACATTCCCAGAGTGCAAGTCAGTGATTTTTTATTTGGTATGTACCCAACAGTATTCATGCAATTATAAACACAGGCAGGCATATTAGTACATCACTGAGTTTTTGAGCAGTAATTGAACATCTGGCTAATCTCCTGCACATCCCTTATATGCATGGATTAAAATTGGCTTTGTTACCTTGGCATCAAAGTGGTTTGGAGTGTGCTCCTTCAGTTCAAAGTGTTTTGGTTTTAATGAAGAAAGGACTCTCAATACACTCTTTAGGAATGGTTTTTGTTTTGAAAATGTACACTTAGAGTGCTGTGCTCATTAAAATAAAATTACTTTGAAGTGAAGTTGTGCATACCCAGCCACTGAGATGCAAGAAAAGGTTAGAAGGTTTAAAAGCAGAGGAAGCTGATCTGTACAACATATCTTTGGGAAAAGTAATTCTTCTGTCTATTGTGGAACAAATGTGCAAGAGGGAGTAGGTCACTTGCTGCCTGGCTATGTGAAGAGACTTGCACTGGTACATTTGTGGGACAGGAATGATGGGTTATCTCAAGGGAAGGTCAGTGTAGTGTGAACTTCTGCTCAAATGGAAAAAGGAGACAAAGAACTGTAATAACAGGAAGGGCATACGAACATGGGCAAAAGAAACATTAAAGGCAAAAAAGAGCATCTGCTTTATAAAAATAGGAAAGAAGGGACTTTCCAAATGGTTTGCCATGTAAAGGATATGAATTCTCTTTCGAATTTCCTTGTTTGTGTTTCTGCCACAATTTCTGCTAGGAGATCTTTATGTGGATAAAGAAGTAAACCCCCTAAACTGGAAGCGTGGCCAAGTAACCCTTCTGTACTCATTCATGAGAGCTCTTAATACAGTCAAAGAAAGTAATCCCCAGAGCTCCTTGGCCAAATTGCTAATGTGGGACTTCAGGAAGAACTTACTGTTACAGCTGAGAAAATAAAGTGATACATTAAAAATAGTGAAGGACAAAGAAAAAAAAAAAAAAATATATATATATATATATAGACAGGAGATTAAAGAAAGACAGATGTTCAAAAACAGGGAGAAAAAAAGAGGGTAGAAATGGAGAAGAAGCAAATTCTAAATAACAAAAGAACAGAAAGGAGAGAAGAAATATGCAGTTAAAATAGCCAATCTTGTCAATAAAGTACCAGAGCATCAGGCAGAACAAAAGCAAAATGGTGTGAAGTCATTTTGATTTATGATATGAGAAGTTAAAA